ATTAATGTGCCAACTCATCGGTGCCTAGGATAAGATGAGCACCGGTGCTCATTAGATCATTTCTGATATATATATTTATTGGAATATGAATATTATTATAACAAATTTGACACATTAAACTTGATTAGACAATTGAATATGTGCCATTAGCATAAAAATTTGATAAGTGGAAATGTGGAATCCCGAATAATATTATTAAAAAAATTAAAATCGTTTACACTAATGTGTAAGTTCCATGTTTTTCCCAATTAAACTATAATTGGAATGAAAAATCTGCAATGTAATTATCACATTATATCATTAATGAAGTCGACGGAAATTTATTTTCATTAGTGTAACCTCTTTGGTCAATTAAGAGAACATAATGAGCCAGTAACCACTCATTTGTAATTAGGATTTGAGTTAAATAAATTTGTAACATTGGAGGGAAAAATAACTTTTGAATGCTAAATTATTTATTTTATAATTTCACTCATCATGCATAGAAATGATTGGTCCGTAGCACTGCAATTTGAAAATTGCTAGAGCAATCCCTACTTCAATATATTTATGATCCATTTGGTACAGCTTTTACTTTTGTTTCTACGTCTTGTAAATACAAATAAATAAAATACAGTTCATTAGGTCATCTTCCGTTAAAATCTTTTCTAGCCACACAAAACATTTTTAAAAAATTATCAATCAAATTGATAATTTGACGGATTGAACTACATTAAGCAAAATTGTCGCATGACATGTATTGTTAATACCATAATATTGTTGAATGTATTGTTAAAAGCATGTCACGTAGATATAGCCCCTGTTTGTTTCCCATTATCTCCCCAAAAGAATGAAATTTTTGACCGTTAAAGTCAAAGAAGTGGGTCCCACTGTCTCACAAAAAAGTCCAAAATTGCGACTCTTTTACTGTTTGAACGGTAGAAAATTTCACTTTCATGAGAAACTGTTCAATTTCATGAAAGCAGTTTGGGCAGCTGAAGATCGCTGCAATTTTCAATAGGACTTTTTATTTAATCAAAAGTGAAGTAACAAACTAAGTTCAACCTATTTATACTAAAACTAAGCAATAGAAAACTGACACCTGGCATAACTAATTAACTAACTAAAAAAGGGAAAGAATACGTGAGTAGGAGAAATGAAAATTAATAAATTCTTCA